ACTGTAAGTACTGAGGAATACTTGCCAGAGGAATCCACTCGAAAACTGGTCCTGGGTGGCACTTGTTCTGGATAAGAAAATGGGGAATTAAAATGGAAATTCATTTATGGCATTTAAAAATTTATCTTCACTTTCTTTTGATTGCTTTTATAACTCTCCCCCACCACATCTTGTGTTTAATGATTTTTTTTTTCTCTAAAATCCATGGAAGTTAGTGGACAGGTTTGTTGTACGTTTTTGTATGAGTGTGCCTGAAATAGAAAAATCTGAATTCTTTAAAATCAGGATGGAAAAAAAATCACCATTTTCAGATATTATTAACCCTTGATTCTTATGTTGAAGAATGATTATTTCAAAACAAAATCAACCCAGAACCTGAAATACATATGGTAAACACAGGTCTTTTTTTAAGTCATATTATGATATTATATTACAAAACATTAAAACAAAAAGAGAAAAACTTAGCCAATGATTATATTGGTTTATGTGTACCAGTCCAAATATTTTGACATTTCCAATTATTGGATAGTTGAAGTTGTGAAGAAGTAATTGAGTTTATTTTACCAATAGAGACTCTGTGAGAGTTATGATGCAATCTATGCTACATGTAACAACATAAAAATTAAGGCACATGAGTATAAAACACCTTTAAAATGTAGGAACATCCAATATTTAGAATTGTACTTATTGAAAAACTTAGCTACTATGTCCTGGAAGTATTTGAAAATATGTTTGTCTCATGGGTAACATTTATCAGGGTTAAATAAGGATTCACTTAACAAGCTTCCACCCTATCCCACACAGACATGTTTCAACATGTCCTGTTCTGGAGCCGTTGAACACAAAGAACATAACTAAATGGTCCGTTAAATTTTATTCTGCCTTCCAAATCTACCACAGAAGAATTAAGCTGGAAAGATCAGTGCCTCAAACACTAAGACTTAGAGAAGTTGATCATGTGCTCCTTTACAGAAAACTCTTCAAGATGATTTTGAGAAAAATTACTTATTATATTTAAAGGTCCATTTTTTAAAAATTATAACTAAAATGTACTATCCAATAAAGTGCTCTTTGTTTCATTTTAGTATCATTATGGATAAATATTACATATTTATACCCTTCTCTTACTATAATTTTTCTACTAATACCTTCAACTGTTCTCTTCCTTTATCAATAAGAACTTTGCTAAACTGCACACTGGCTTGATATGAGGTGGGCCGAAGACACATGAGAATAAGCCTGTGGTCAAGACATACTTAAAAGATATGTTAAGAGAAGCTGAGATATTTCTGAGAGATTGGCAGTCTAGTTTTGCCATCATGATGAACTTAATAGAAAGTTTTATCACATTGCTTTGCTTTTAAATCATGTAAGGAATTTCAGATGGAAATTAAAAATTCCCAAGCCTCTCCAAAGCATAAATTCACATTGTAGATGAAGGAACTGTAACATTTTCTGGTAAGAATGGTTTCTCCCACTTTAAGACTTTAATATGTCCACTAGTTTTGGGTTAAAAACATTTTAGATCATTATTACTATTATGGTCATATAAATTATTGTATAATCATCAATCATATACATGATTATCCCTTATTAGGAGCATTTTAGAGGAGGCAACTTGAAGGACAGTTTTAAAAAGCAGAGTGAGAATAAAATACAATAGAACTTTCCCATTTTGAGCATATTAAGATGGTATGATTTTATAATATAGTTGTGTCATATGAACCACAATAAAAATGAATATTTTTTTCATTAAACTTAAAAATTAAAATAAGGCTAAATTTTGATTGCTTTATTATTGAGCTCTGTTTGTTTCCAATAAAGACAGTCTTGTTCATCCCTGCCAGGTAAGCTGTGTTTTCATAGTAAAGGCAAATTAGTTTCCTAGCAGAACTGTAATTTTTTTTTAAGAATCTTCATGTTTACTGTGACTGTCTGGGATTATGAATGAGAAATATCCTTTCATCAAAGGGGTAGACCTATGTCAGGGAGGGAAGACTGCTACCTTCTAAACACTTCCATTAGGTTTAAAACTGACGTTTTATATTATCATAATCTCCCTAGGACCTACTTGTCATCCAGCAATTAAACTCCATTTACTGCAACCCTGATGGTCTCATGTTTATTCATGAAAGTACTTTGGTTTACACTGTCAACTTGTACTACCAACAAAATGCTTTGACATACTAAATAACTTTCAAGCAAGGGCTGATTTTAGAATCCACTTTTCACATTTTTCCTCTTTTCTAGCCCTTGTCAAACACTAAGTTTTAAATTATAGAATAAAATAAATTTATAAGTGATAGGATTGGATATAATTTGAAAAATACATGGGAAAAATAGGTGTTACATCACAGGTTATTTTACTGTTTATATTACCTGGTTCACATCATGGTAATTTTCTACTTTAAAAGGAAACTGAAGAAATATATATGTTATCATAACTTTTTAGAAAGCAACCCAAAGATACCATTTTTGAAACTGGGCTTCCAAATTAATTGAAATCTATGTATTAAACATGGCAAACACAGCTTAACTGGGCTTGTTGATCTCTTTCATCAATACATTACAAACTCAAAGTGGTGCATAATGTGATATATTAGAAATTCCAGCTAAAAGGCAAATTTCTTCACAATTTTGTTTTTCAAATTATCAATATAAATTATACTAAGGATGACAATAATGTTATTCTCATGGGAAAAGGGTCCAGAAAAATAACTTTCATGGTATAGTTGAGGATATTAAAATGATAATGTTAATTTTTCTTTTTATGATTCTAATGCTAAAGTCATTGGTAAAAGTGTCATAATATTTATTTATAATCTCATTTTAATGTTTAGAAAAAGACTGTGCTCCAGCGAACGTGTATGAGAGGTACTTTAATTAAGACCACTGGACACCAGCAATGTCCAAGAAAATCAGGCGAGGGCTCCATGTGCTCAGTGTGAGGATGCTCTTTGAGAAGGCAAGGCGAACTTTCACGATCATTTGGATAGCTGCCTGCAGCTATGGCATCTATCAATTCACAGAAACCTTTCTTAAACCTTTTGACATTTCCAGTATGACTGTATCAGGCAGTTAATTACATTGGGAAAGGAGACTGGAGCCAGGAAGCCTCAAGCAGAAGGACTTGCTCAGACTTCAGAGCTCTGGTTCTCAGTACCAGGGATGGCAACTGCCTTTGTGAGCTGGCTCCCACCATCACTCTGCAGAGTCTCCAGGGTGTGCTGCCGTGAAAAATGTTATTATACCACTTTCTCTCTCCAATCGCTCTGCTGTTAGGATAGGAGGCAGTGGAAACCATGACCCTTTGCTCACTGAGCTGAAAAACCCCAATACTGTAGAAATGCAACTACCTATTTGTCATTATCCATAAATTATATACGCATTACAATACTGAACAATGAAAGAATTCAATAACTGAACAAATGAACAACAGAAGAGAAGGATAAACACCATAGATGTAAAAGACACAGCCGTCCATTTTTGATCGGCTGTAAATTATAATTTCATTTCAGGTGTAGCACTAAAGAACAGCCTTGCTTCTCCATTATGCTCTTTAACTGGCCTGGGGTTACTTTTGATGACAACCTTGGCTGTGATACTCATTGCTTATAATAGGTTAATGCTTTCTAATTTCTGGAAAGAAAAATTGATTGTATGAGCTCTTTTGAAGAAATTTCTGTTCTAAAAGAGTTACACCATAAGGCGCAATACACCATATGGACTGTTGACACTTTTATGATCCTACATTTGAGTGATGTCTTACTCCACAGGAGGGTGGACATGCTGTACCTCATAAATTGTTTATTTATAATAACCAAGGTTCAATGGGAAAAGAAAAAAAAGTTTGGAAAACTTCCGTCATAATTCAACATGGGTTCAAACCAAGCAATGGAACCACCAGGGATTAGTTTAAGGGAAGGAGGATTTTCCTTCTCTGGCTATTCTTGTTTGCACCTGCTTATTTTGCTCTAGTTTCCAAGGCTGAGGTGTGGAGCATGCCCAAGAAATACCCCCATGACCCGAGGATGATAAGACAGTCCTTTAGAATGAGTTTGGCTTGAAGAAAAGTGCAGTACAGGCCTCCTTCCTAAATCAATAGGCTTTCATTAGAGTAATCGAAACTGTATTTTGTAATATTCCAGAGTGATCCACAGTCATTTTCTTTGAGAAGCACTTTATATCCCCTTACCTGGTAATAAAAAAAAGGGGCAAGAGGGAGAGGAGATGTGATAGGTATCTATTTGCAGTTATCTAGGTATGATTGTTCCTTTGGGCAGCAGACAGAACTCCCTTTCATTTCTGTGAATATTGTGACGTTGAATTTGACTTACTCTCTGTGATAAGAATGAGAACTCCGTGGCGTAGTATAACTGTGACACTCTCCTACCTGTTCTTTCTAATTAGTTTGCCAGGCTCTGGATCTACGCATAGGCACAATTTCTAGGTATAGGGGGAGTTCCCTGGAAGTTTGGCTACCAACACAAACTGCCACATAAGCTTTTATCTTAAATTAGAGATAAAACATGTAGAGGTAAAAATATGATTAGACAAAGAAATTAACTTTAAAAAGTTAGTTTTCTGAGTAGATATTAAAATTTTTATTCGTGGAGTACATGTTTTTTCTTGGACAGTAATGATGACTATTTCTTGAATAGCCATATAGATTATATAAATTATACAGATTATACAGTAAAGGGAAACCATGTAATGGTTTTGGAGAAGAACAGATCAGAGAGTCAAAGGGCAGCTACTAATAATTACCCCAGGCCAACACACATCAGGACCATTCTGGGAACACTGTCTCATGTAGACACCCTGGGTAGTCTTTTGGGTTTCTGGACCAGTAAAAGAATTCCCATTATATCAGGATATGTGGTTGAAGCAAGGACACAATCACACAGAGACAAAGAATGGCAGGAGGAGCTGAAAGGGGAGAGGGCAAGGCCTTTAGAAATATCTTTTTTCTCTATTATTAGAGATGGTACAAATAGTTCAACATTAGGAACGTTTACAAACAGAGAGCACAAGCTGAACCTCTTGTGATTGCAAAGAAAAGTCAAGTCCTTCCTTCATGAGACTCATGGGAAAAGGACAAAGAAGACAGAATTCAAAAATAACATAGTTTGTCCTACTGAACAAAGAGGAGTATCTCCTTCTGCTTTCAGTTTTTAAAATTGTAAGTAATAGAGACAGCAAGAAGTCAGTTTATCAACTACACAAAGACAAACATGACATTTGTCTAAGGTCTTTGGCAGAGAGGCATGTGGGGAGATATTTGTTCCTTTTTGGAAATTGATGATATAGGTTGAGCATCACTAATCCAAAATTTTGAGTGTTGCCATGGCTCTGCAAGTAGAAAATTCCATATATGACCTTGTGAGATGGGTCACAGTCACAAAGACAATGCACTACAAATATTTGTATAGGGCGTATATAAAACATAAGTGAATTTCATGTTTAGACTTGGGTTCCAGGTCATTATATGTGTGAAAATATTCCAAAATCTAAAAAAAATCCCAAATCAGAAATACTTCTGGTCCCAAGAATTTCAGGGAATGTCTACTCAACCAGTAATGAATTGAGTCAAAACTTAAAAAAAAAAAAATTTCCTGGGCATGGTTCTACTTAAATATTTAGGCATATAAGCTTAATCTTATATGGAATTTCTTTCCATAGAGTTTTCCAGTAACAACTAAGACGAGATAGGGCACATTCAGGGTGGTACAGCTGAGAACCTAGTAACAACTAAGATTTTGATTACTCAAAGATTTTTCTCTAACATGTATGCTCTAGATCAAACATCAGTTTTGTATATGGAAGTTGAGAAACTACCAGAATTCTAATGATTTTACTGGAAAAATTCACACATTTGAACACTAATATTATTGGTGGTGTTGTGTAAGCCGACATTGTTCAGGAATTGTTTTCCTACATGTGCATAAGCTTCTAATGAGTAGAGATTACTTCTTGTGAACTTTCTCTTGTGGACTGTCTAGAGGAGTTCTTGTCACATAGTGAGTGTTTCATAAACTCTTGTTGATTAATATGAAGCCTGGAGGTGCCACCTCTGGACACTGCACCTAATGCTCTGATGACAAAGGTATCTATCACTTGCCTGCTAGGCAGAAGAATCTTTCTTTCTGTGTCTTTTTTAGTCCCTACCTCATCTTAAGGTGACCTCATGAAGACTGGAAGTGTTTCTAATTTTCCTTCAAAACAGCACCTGTCATACTGTATTTTCTATGATTCTAGTATCCTGTGGTTGTCTTCATTTGTTTAAAATCACATTTTTTCCAGGGATACATCTTTATTAAGATGTCCTGTGCATGCACATTAAAGTGTCAGAATAATCTAATTATGAGTCAAATGAGGCACAGCAGCATTTACATCATTTGATAAATTTCCCTCATTTGCAGGGGACTGGTGACTTGAATCCAAATATTTCTTGACAGCCTTGACAGAACAAACATTGTGTAGTTCTGTGCAGCCCAGACTTGTGGGTGGAGGGCCATCCTTTAATTTGGTAACTGCACTAGTTTTGAATGTGAATGCTTCAAATCTCTTTAGTCTTAGATGTGGTTGTAAGAGATGGTACCATGAGATCACTACTGGCCAGAGAAAATTAGGATTTGCAGGTTTGATTAGGATTTCCTTCCCTAACACATCCCTTCCACATTTTCCTTAGTCCTGCTGATTTTTTTTCCCCTCCCAGGAAAAACTTGGGAAACACTGAATTGAAATGTTATGCATGTGATTTAAAGGAATAAGAGTTGAAGTGGTTCACAATCAAAATTTTGAATATTGGCCTTTCATTTGGGTTGTCTGATCCTTGCATTAAAAAAATAAAATTAACTTTTTGAAGATGATAAGAATTAGACTGAGCTTTCCACCTATTCATTAATTTTTTAAAAGTATTGCTTTAAAAAGTTAAGCGAGAATATGAAACTTTTTTTTCATACTAGGAAGCAGGGTATGTCCAGAGGGCATAGGGCTGTTTTATTCTTCTAACTTGCTGTCATGTCCCCAGCAGAGAGAATCGATGAGCTACAGAGACCAGAGAAAGCAACAACAGAACCTTCTGGTTCCTCAATCTTCAGGGGCAGAGCTTTTCTTACCTGGACTTGATTTCTGTGTTTCAGTCACACTCCATTTAGTGTTATGAAGTAACAATAGAGTAGAGAAAGACGGGAAAGGAAATTAGCCTGCCCCCTTTTGGCTCTCTGAGAGTTGTGACCTGAAAACATCACTGTGACCTCAGAAACATTAGAGAGAGCTGAGGAAAACAAGAATGTGGGTGTGATGAGAGCTGCTGCCACTGAGGCTGTGGCATGGGCAAGGGTGCTGGGAGCAGTCAGGAAGCCTGTTGTTTCTGCAGCTGAGAGGCAAGGGAGAATCAAGAACTCCCATGGGAGGCCAGGAAAAGAAAGACAAGGGAAGGGAAGGCACTGGCGGAGAGTGGGAAGGCAATAAACAGATAAGGCACTGCAGGGGCTGGATAAGGAAATGAGAGTTCTTTTAGGATTGTGAGAGGGTCATGCACAATTCCTGTTCAGAAACTGAGGGCATAGACGACCACCTAGAGAAGTCAGGGAATAAATACCAACATGGCCTTTGTCCTGAAAAAACAAAGCTTTTCTTTGCCCAGGAAACTGCAAAAAGGATAGAAGCAAATGACTAATGCAGGGACAAAACCCAGGAGGAAGCATCTCTTAATGCTCCTCAAATCAAAGCAAAAAATTGAAGCTCGCCAAAGATGTGAGGGTCACATTTTAATCCTTCAGTGAATTTCTTTCTTCCAAGATGGAAATCCTACTGTATCTCGCTCTCCTCTTGTTTACACTCCTGCTTCTTATTTCCCCATTAAATTTGTAAGAGCAGGACATATTGCTCATCTGTGGTATCTCCCCACAGTGCTGAGAGCAAAGTGGGTATTCAATAAATACTTGGTTTATTGAAGCAGAAAAAAGTATTAAGAACTGTGCCAATATCTCTTCAATTCTTTTTTTCAGTTTAATGAGCACTAATACTCTGAATTTATACCCTATATTATACAGCTAAAAATGCCTACTTTGTTCTTCTTCTTCTGTAGCAGACATCCTAATGATACAATCCTTTAATGATATCTCCGTTGTTCATCAAGAAGGGGAAGAGTGACTGTGATGTAGCTGATTATTTAAAAGTGTGTGCCTGGTAGATTCATTTTGATGAAAATGATTTCTCCATGGTCTGCTGTCCTAACTATTTTATCAACCAAAATTACTTGCACAAAGCATTGTAGAGAATGGGGAAAAGGTATTATGTTTGCCTTTCCTTTTACCAGCTGGGTGCATAATTCTCAGCCCCTGAGCTCATCAAAAGAGTAAGCAGATTTGAGATCCTCTGAGATCACACACAATTTAAAACTTGCTATTCATGCTTCAATGATAAAGTTCGAAACAAGACATTGGTGGAAGCAAAGGAAATCAGCAGACTGTAAATGGGAGCTCCAGGGACCAAACTCTTTTCACCAGGCTAGGTTTCTTGATCATTTACTCAGGTTCTTATTATACACTATATTTTACACTCATGTCATTTAGATTCTTGTCCTCTAATGTGTGGAGGGAATGGCATGTAAGATGGCAGAAAGATACATAACCAACGTGTATGGTATATTAAAAATCTGGGGCTGGGGTTGTGGCTCAGTGGTAGAGCACTCGCACATGTGAGGACCTGGGTTTGATCCTCACCAACACATAAAAATAAATAAAATAAAGGTATTGTGTCCAACTACAACCAAAAAATAAATACTTTTAAAAAAATCTTTGTTTTCTAACATTTACAAAGTGCAATGACATAATTCTTGAAGACCTTCAAATAGGGCTGCAAGTGCATACATATTATTTCAAGACAATATTTAAATGGGTATGCATTAAATAAGAAACAGAAGATTGTGGCAGAAATGGTTGGTATGTGGCTCTGCATTACTGTTGGAACCAATTGATTTCATGAATGTCTTTCTATGACTATTGGAAGGACTTGGCTGAAATTTTACTCAATGCCCTAACTCCAATGACTGCCTTTAAAACTCTAAGAAAAAAAAAATCTAATTTTAGACTCATGGTCATATTAAATAGATTAAAATTTCCAAACATTTCTTCTGACCATTTAGTGACTTGAACAAAACTAGCAACTGTCCCCAGCTCCTATCCCCTCAGAATTCCTGATTTTCTTCAAAGGCTTAGGAGCAAAAATAAGAAATAAAATTTAAAACCAAAAGATACAATCAACTTATTTTTAGAACTAAAATATTTTTTTTAAGCCAATGGGTACAAAGATTCAGTTAGGTGGAGGGAAATTAAATTCTATTGCACATTAAGGGGACTGCAGTTAATAATAACATATATTTCCAAAATAGTTAGAAGAGAGGTTTTTTAATATTCTCACCATAAAGAAATGATAAATATTGGAAATGACTGATATGTTAATTAACATGATTTGATCATTCCACAATGTATACAAGTATTGAAACTTCACAGTGTATCCCATAAATATGTAATTATTATTTGTCAAAACTATACAAGAGTGTGTGTGGGGGGAGTGGGCTTTTAAAGAGAATTTTAGATAGCTCACTTGACTTTGGAGATGCTCTTGGAATCTCAGAATATAAAATCATGCCAAATCGATTATTCAGCCTCAATGTATGTCCTGGCAGGGCCTTTGGCTATTATTAATGAACCCTTGTTTCATGTGGCTTTCACTTACGCCTACTTTCATAAATGGCTCTAGATTTTTCGTAGAGCTCATATGGGTCAGGCTTCCGTGGGTCAAAGGCCTCTGTTGAGTCAGGAAAGGAACTCCTGTGGAGTGCGGGTGGGAAGGGCAGGTTCTGCGGTATGGCCGGAGCAGATAAACTTGTTTGAGGACTGCCTTGATTCTCCCATCGGTCCATTATCTGAAAAGTAAAACAGAACAGAGAAAATGACTGAGGACCAATCCTTTCTGGCTATTTCCCTTGTCACCTTTAAGTTGGACTTCCTTGCCTTGAGGACTTTTCTTCTAAGAAACATTGAAGACTTTAGTATATACATGCCTTGAAAGAAAAGAGCTTACTTCTGTCTAATAAAGCACCAGTGGCTGTTATAAATAAAAGCAGTGCCCAACTTTTGAATGAAAACTTTTATAACCTCGTCTCCTATTAGGTGGTAATCTTTAGCAAATTGATCTCTCAGAATCTTTTTTTCTTCCCATAAAATAAAGACAACAAGATAATACATGTGGAAGTGCTCAGAGATGTATGGTATTGTTTGTTCCTTTTCTAAGACAGTCTCAATTTATTACCCCACTTCACTAAAACAGAAGATAAAGTAGTCGGTGCATATTCACGTGACACCTCTGCACATCCCAAGCACCTCCTATACTTGAACATTCAAACACTTCCCTTATAATTTACCAGTAGTCATACAACCACCTGGGCTCTAGGGATCGATCAGGCTTCTGGGATGTCCTGTTTATGGCTGACGGTGACGTCTGCCCTAAAATGCTCCATTGCTAGCACCACAATTAGATACTTCCTAGTCATCCCCTCACATACAAGACCTTCTTCCATCCTCACCATGGGATCATGAGGAAGATAAAGCAAGAGCTAATCTCATTCTTCCATCAAGGAGAAAGGGAGGTTCTCTGAGGTCACCTATTGTCACCATCAGTTTCACCTTTGTTAGACTGTTAACTGACCCCTCATTAAAACTCAACTTCTGCTTTGAATAAACCTGTGCTTTGTGTATGTCTTAGATTAGGCTTAGGTTACCCTTTTGTCTAAAATTCTGTACCGGGTCAGCATGGGTGGCAGGATCAAAAAGGCCAAGTTCCCCAGTTGGGTTTGGGAGGTTCCTCAGGACCCAGGTTGTGCTCATCTGACTCATATCTGCTGATGGTCCCTCCTCTGCTCCCTAGCAACCCCAAGTTCTCTCTTGCCTCTGAAGCTCTGCCTACTCTATTTCTCCTTCTGCCTGCAAAGTTCAACCATTTTCCACACTCTCACCCTCCTTCATTTTACCTGATTACTAAATTCAGGTGAGATGTCTCCTTTACGGGAAGGCCTTTGCCGACCACTCTAACCCTCCTGGGTGCTCCCAATGGCACCCTTGACCTACCCCTGGCATTACTCATCACACCCCACTGTAGCCACAAGTCCACCCCATCCATGTGTCCTCAATGATATCATGCTGGGGACAGAAGTTGTACCTTTCTCATTGACAGTACATAGTAAGTACTCAGAAAATGTTCATTTAGTGAATAAATAATAGCAGGATTAAAATAGAAGGGAATTTTTTTAAAAACTAGCTTTGTTATACAATGCATTGAAGGTGACAGGATCATAATTTTCTGTCCCCTACTTCAATGTCCTGCCTTGGTCAGGGCTCTGACTTCCATTCTCACCAATCTATCATCAATGTGTGGAGGCTGAAGGGATGTGAGAGACTGCGTGCTCCAGTGTTTTTCAAACTATGACATCAGAGATCCCTGTGGCCCTTCCTGCCCACCTGGGACTCTGGCAGGGGTTCAGGCTGAGCCAGTAAATTGGGAAAGAAATGGGCCACTGACTCTTATTTCAGTAAAACTGGCTTTACTTAAATTGTTTTCTGTGATGGGCTGCTACTGCCCAAGACATTATCTGAATAGTTTCTAGATCTAATGAGGATAGTTCAGTTTCTTTATATTAAATATAATCTCTGTAAACACAGAGAAGTTAAGTGGGTTGTCTGAGGTCCAGCAGCTTCCAGTAGTAGATCCTGGTTAGAACCAGCCTATGACTCTTAAGAGGAGTGGGGGATAACTGGCAAATATGGGTCGAGTTCCAGTTAATTTCTGTTCACAGGCTTTTTGCTGCCATTTTGTAAAAATTCTTAAATACGTACTTCATAATTCATTTAACAGCTCTGCTGTGATGTGGAAGGCCCACATTTCTGGGTAAAGGCATGACACTTTTAATCTATTGTTCCCTTTAGCTGACTTTAGGCACAATGTGGATGCATTCTGGCTGTGACTCTCTCCCTTATTGTTTCCAAACTTAAGATACTAAATGCTAAAAAGTAAATAAATGGAAAATATGGTTTGAGATGCTATAGTATACCACTTGTCAACCTAGGGCTTTGGTGAATATCGACTTAACTTTTATCTTCCACGGAAGGTTATCTGATATCAGTGTGAGTCTTGCTGGTATATGTGTATTGCTCATGTATGATCATTGAAGAAAACATGCTTTCAGGTGAAATATTGGTATTTCTAAGAAACAATCATAAAACTACAGAACAAATAATGCTTTGGGCACTGTTTGGAAAAGTTTCTATGGCAGAGTGACAAATTCTACAGTTTCTGTAGCACAGAGACTGGGAAAAGAGTGGAGTCCAGTTCATACGTAGCAAAGCATTCATAACTGTGTGACATTCATCAATCCTTGAGTCACTCTGTCAAGGTTTCTTTAAAAATCTACAGTAGAAAATCCCTGTGCCCATGAAAAAGTAGACTTACAGTCCACTCCACTGTCCCCTGACCTGCTCCCTCCAAATTGAGTTACCTGGTGGCTTCAGCCCAGAAGACTATAAAATAAAGCATCTGCCTGCATCACAGGCTGGCCACACTGTCCCTTCTGAAAGGCAGATTCTGAAGACTCCTCCCTCCTTTCTTAGACACCCTGGACTCTGGATTTTGCTTTCTACCTAGGATTCTCGGTGTTCCTCTCTACCTTTATGAATCTTCTAAATTCTGACCCTGTCCCTTGACCCTGACCAGGGCCCTCCCTTGCTCTGTTGTTGAAGGCATTTGCTTTGATTCTACTGTCTTGCTGGTATTGACCTTGAGTTTGTTACCTGCAAGGCATTTACCTCTCAACTAGATTTCTCACTGGGCTACATCTGTCTGGCCCATTGGTGTCCATACCTGGATTGATTCTTATATCTCACTAGAGTAAGGAGGAGTGGAGACAGAGTTGTTTTCTATATCTGGGAGAAGTCCAGTACCTCTGTTGGCCTTGCTGAATGAGTGAATGAAGGAATGAGGCTGGTGGGAAAGCCCAGCCACTGAATTACCTGTGGACATGTGCACACAGTCCACACCCAGGCACCAAGCAGTAAACTAGAAAGACCCAGGCACCGTTGGGACTGACTTGTTTAACCTTAGCTTCTGATTCCAGGGTGTACACAAGGAGTAGAGGGCTTGTGAATAAGACAGGTTATTTCCCCCCATAAAATAACTCTGTCCTCCCTGTGGAGTTTGCGGGTATCTAAATCCACTCCCATCCTAGGATCCACTCCATATTTTAGGCAGGGCTGGGAGTTGAAGGCATTTGCTTTGATTCTAACTTTGAAAAATGAATTTAGATCCCTTCCAGACAAAGAGAAGGAGAGTTCACTATGATTAGTGTACTGCTTGTTAAACAGGAAGTGACTATCTTGACAAGGATTAACTTAAGATGTGGGTCAGTAGGACAGAAGTGGGTCAGTGAGTGACACAGGACTAGGAGGAGGCTAGATCTCTCCAGGAATAACAATTCCATCCTCTAAGAATGCTATCAATTCTCTTCAGAGGAGAAAGTATATAAATGCATATATCCTGGGTGTATGGTCATGTATTTGTTTCAATTAATGGTTCAGCCAACTGTGTTCATTCCACAGAGTGATTTTATTTACATAGATCTGTGCACAGAGGTCTGATTTCTATGGTGATATGAGTTTATGTTTTTGAGCTAAACATGTTGGGGTTGCTATTTTAAGCACCTTACATGGATTAACTCAGAATCCTCATGGTAATCTGTGAGAGAGGTATCATTATTGTGTTCATGTTTACCTGAACTTGAGACACTAAGAATTTAAGCAGCCAGTAAAGAATCTGTACCCTCAATAATTAGACCCCATGTACTACTGCTCAATATAGACCTTAGACTCAAGAGCTTCTAGAAAATATATACAGGATATTAAATTGAAAGTCCCCTATCTTTACTGATTCTAGGACCCGGAAGTCCAAGGCTTAGCTTTTGTAGAGATGCAAGGGTTCAGGATTAATTGTACATTGAGTTCTATAAAACCTTTTTTTGGAATTATTGACTATGGGTATAATTACTTGTAATGACAGCAAATACTGTAATTACACCAAATGACATAATTTGTGTAAATGTGGTACATATAAGGGAATCACTAGATTGCATAATTGTGCCACCATGATGAGGTTGCAAGCTTCCTGGTTAAATTAGATAAAGGTGTATATAACCACAGAGCACAGATTTTGAGTTTGGTGGTGACAGTAAGGAGCTATTTAGAAGTTGGACAAGATAAAATAAAATTCACTCTCAACACTTTTTTTTTTTTGTACCAGGAATTGAACCCAGGGGCACTTAACCACCTAGCCACATCCACATCCCCAGCCCTTTTTTATATTTTATTAGAGACAAGATCTCTCTGAGTTGCTTAGCACCTTGCTAAGTTGCTGAGGCTGGGTTTGAACCTGCAATCCTCCTGCCTCAGACTCCCTAGTCACTGGGATTACAGGCGTGTGTCACCACACCCAGCTTCACTCTAAACACTTTTAGAGGTAGTTTGAAAAATATATTTTTGTTTTTCAAAATCACATATATCACTAAGGGATATATTAATCCCAAGTGGGATTGGTCTCCCCATCTTCTCTGTAGATCAGATGAGCCAAATCTTAAATGACCAATGCTTGGTGAGAATGTTCTACTTTGCCACAGGACCAGTTCAATGATAGGATTCAGCCATTTCAGTTAGGGTTAGGTATCTTAAGGCATCGTAAAGCAGAATTCCAGGAAAACCAGTCCCAGCTCCTGGACCTTGAGCTTTAACAGTGCTAAAGTGTGTATGTTGAATGTCCCCAAAGGTCCATGTGTTAAAGGGTTGGTCCCCAGGGTGTGCTACTGGGAAGTGGTGGAACATTCACAAGGTGTGGTGTAATGGGAGGTCCTTGGTCACTGGGAGTATGCCCTTAAGGGGGTTTCTGGGACCCTGACTCCTTCCCTTCTTTGACCCTGGCTCATGATGTAAGGAACTGTATTCTTCCATATTCTCATGCTATGGGGTGCTGCATTACCACAGACAAAAGCAGGGACAAGTGCACATAGACAGGAACATCTAAAACTCAGCCAAAATAAGCCTTTTCTCTTTATAAGTTGACTATCTCTGGGTATTTTGTTATAGTTCTGGATAGCGGACTAATAGTTTAATGGCAAATAAAGATCATCTCTAACCACTAAACCAATTTGGTTAACGTAGCCTTACAAAAACATTATTAAAACTTACCAGCCTCTTACATTGGCACAAAAATTAGAGCATATTGCATAAGGGATCTAGGCCTAGAGAAGCTGGGTGATGGTAGAGAGAAGCAGTATATCATGAAGGTTCAGAAGCACCACTATGAGTGATTGTCAGGTTTGGAACACATATTCTATAGAACTAATATATAATATACATTTGGAATATTTATTATATAGAATTAATTATATATACACAGAGCTATAATATAAGTGTGTGTGTGAGCACATATATATGCACACAAAGCTATATAGTTTACACACATATATTTAACTTAGTGTGGACTTTAAAAAGGGAATATAAATATATATGGAGTTATATTTCTTGTGGAACAGAATTAATTCACAGGTAAGGACTTCTGAGCCTACAGTTTACATTGTTTCTAAAAATTTCATGTTATAAAGACTATATATACTACTCATGAGAGGGAAAAACAAATTTCTGAAGTATTATCATTATATAAGACCGAATAGTTTTAAGTTAATTTTGTAAGTATATTTTAAAAATTGGCACAATTATCATTATAGTAAAGTAAGATGGATTTTTCTTATATTTGGGGGATAAATATAAGACAAAAGCTCACAGAGAATTTATTCTTCTGATGTTATCGAATCTCAGAAGTAAAAGAGATACTAAGGTCACTTAATTCGACTCTTAATGGGATCACATAGTAACCAGAAATAAAGAAGCATAATAATTCCAACTTACAGGCTTTGGAGTTTTCCATGGAGAAAAGAAACCTGCAATAAAGAAAACAATATTTGAACTTTGAAAATTATACCCCACTACCACTAATGGATGGTGTGATATCAAAATAATTGTAATTCACTTTAAATTAGTTAATAGCAACAATAACACCACACCAAAAATCTGGTATGGTCTTCTTCAAGGAGTTCAAATATTTTCATTGGAATTATATTAATTATTCAAAGGAAATTTCCTTATTTGGCAACTGAGAATTCTGAGGCACAGAGAAGGTAAGTAACCTAAGTGGCAAATAGCTGCTTCAGAAGTCCCCAAACTAAGTTGTCCTTAGGGATTGTGTCATCCAGTCTTAGCAGGACAGAGAGAACATATAGATAGAAATTTAGATTTTTTTTTTGTGGTAAGTATCTCTGTTTAGTGTAAGAAATAATTCTGCATTATGTACTTGCTTTCTACAGTTAAAAATCAACCAGACTTTGTCATTCTTAAATTTAAAAAGAAGGTTCACACTTCTGATAGGAATCAGATCGAACTATGAATTTGTATGTGGCTCTTACCCCACTGACATCTCCTCTAGAGAAGATTTTTATTATCCTTCTGCACCAGGGCAAGCACAAAGTTACACACAAAGAAGCTCAAAATGTTTTGTTAACTGAATAACCTGTATACCATCAAAAGGTATAACATTAAAAAACTTATTGAGCCTTTTCAATGACCACAAATAGTCTGATTGATTAGACAGACTGTAGATTAATTCCTTTTCTAAAACCTCTTTTAATATATGGAATCAGTTTCTAAAGAGGTCCTAAAAACAGACTTAAAAATGCTGGAGGGAGGGGGGCTGGGGTTTTGGCTTAGTGGCAGAGCGCTTGTCTAGCATGCGTGAGGCACTGGGTTCGATCCTCAGCCCACATAAAAAAATAAATAAATAAACTTATAAAAAATACATATTTAAAAAAATGATGGAGGGAGCAGGGATGGACACATACTGGTCCTGACAATCTAAAACTTAATCCAGTATATAAAGCAAAACTACTTTCTTCTCATATCATATCTTTCCTCTTGCAGCAATGTTAGCTCCTGTCAATATTCAGTGATGTTTGAAAATGTTCAATAAAAACAGAATATTGAAAATATGCCATATACTATCTTTATCATCTTTAAAACTGAGATGTCCAAAATGAGAATCGATGACAACTATAACTCATTTACAGGAAATATCTACAGAAATCTGGTCACACAGTTACCTAGATGTTTAGGCAACCAGCTCAGCCAAGGCAAATATGCTAATTGTATATCAGGGCACCCCTGTGGTGAACAATAATTCATTTTATCAAAAGAGTGAGACTATATAATCCATCATGTTTCACAGCTTTTCTTGGAACCCAGAGCTAAATTTAAAGCTCAAGTAAAGAACCATCTTAACCAAGAAGCTTGGTGGGATTAGCTTTTTATCTGGTCTCATACACTGTGTTCTTGTCTCTCTTTTTTGATTAATTAAAAAAAAATGTGGTTCAATGTGTGTTTTGATTATAATTTCAGGATTTAATCACATCCTTTTTGAGAAGAGTTGAGAATACAAAGTCCAGATAAATGCATACATTTCTCTCCTGATTCATTCTGTAAAATGCCAATGAAAAAAAAAATTGACAATGAGTTAAAAAGTAGGAAAAAATGTTAACCTGCTAGCCAATTAACCATGATTTTCAGTGAAGGATAAAATTCACTTGCTGTTTTGTGGAGTTGCCAGTTTTCTTGAGGGAAGATGTCATTTACACATTCGCACAACGTCAAGACATTCACTTATCTCCCAGGTCCTCACTTAACTTTCCAGAATGCTCCAGACAGGTTTTGAATATCTGCTCTTTTATGTTTGTAGGGGCTGGGGATTCTTAGACTGATACAAAGGTACTGAAAATGGCTCCTCCATTATGGAGCTCTCATCTCCACATGGAACCTTATTTTAGAAAAGAATCCTTCCTATGGAAAACACATCATCATCTCACCTCTCAATAGCTAGAGTGTCAGAGCTGAAATGGCCCAAGAGGGAGATTGGTCAAGAACAGACCTCTCTCCAGGAGAGGGTGCTTAATTTGACCACGTTTTATCCTTCATCATTGGCACTTTGGATTCCGATTCTTTTAAAGCTGTTCCATCCAATCTGAGCTCACACCATGGGCATGACCCAGGGCTTCTTTACTGTCCCCATTATGGTAGCTTCTAGAATATCAGTAATACTGAATTGAGCCACAGAGGTTCTCATCTCTGCAGTGATGATTGCCCTTCTGAATCACTGTCAAAATAAGCTGTGTGTTGCAGACTATTCAGTAGTAAGAAAAAAGATCAGAATCGATTTTTCTTAAAAATAAATAACTTATTGTAACCCTCTGTTTCTTTAGCAAATTATTAACCATGCTATAAACATTTAAATTAAGATGAATAGAAAACATCTATTTTGGATATACTCAATTTGGTCCTGATGAAGTCAGAAGGTCAAGTTTTCTAATCAATTAAACTCCAATTTTCTGCTCAACTTCATTGGAAGAGCTATAGAAATATAACTGTGTGTGCCAAGATATTATATATTATAAATGTACTATAATTTCTTGTGCAGATGGCCCTTTAGTAAATCTAGTCTATTCCAGCTAACATGTAAAAAAAAATTAAAAATTTTAAGTCTTTTAAGAGACATGGAGGTTATTATGTTGAGCTTATTTCTGAAATTATTCTAGTAGGAGAGGAGCACAGAAGCAACACAAGTTTTTACACATGTACACATACATAGATGTGTGTTCTGTGATGAATAGGAGAGTTTCTTCTATTAGGTACAATTACTTAAAAACTGCTATATTTTGCTCTTGTGGCTTACCTTAGGGATCACAGGAACACCATTCTCTGGGTATCCTAAAAACCATTAGATCTTGGCTGGTGCCTAGCCTTTCTCTGGGCTAAGCTCATTGCTGAGACAATTGCTTTGGGGCCTATCACTGCCCATCTCCATAGGGATATAGACAACTTGTTCTCAAGCCTTCGTGAGGTAAGAGAGTCCTCTTTACAAAAGAACACTCATAGAAAAGGAGTTTTTTATCCTTCAAATAAGAGTAACAATTTCTTTCTGTTTTAGCTTCTGGACTTTATTTCTCAGACTTGCATAGAAAACTGTGTATTGGAATTCTCTGAAGGGATTAAAGTTCCTTTAGAATGACTCGACTCGGGTGTTCCAAACTGATCATTTGCCGGCTTTTTACTTCAGCATCATGGTGTGTATTTGTATATGCGTACAAATACAAACTTACTTTTATAATCCTGAGTCTTAAGATAACAAAAGCAAAAGACCACAAGGTACAGTTACAAACTAAATAAAACATGGGTAGGAACATAACAGAAAAAAAAGAGAGAGAGAGAGAGAGAATAAATAGTAAAATTTAGATGCATCTAATAAGGAAATTAAGATGCATTTTAATGTAAAGCCCCAAACATCATTAGGTCTCTAAAATCTATCTTCTTTGAAACAAGAAATAAAAGTGTGTTTGTGTGTGTGTGTGTGTGTGTGTGTGTGTGTGTAAAAGCCCAGTGAGCTGGGCAGAGAGACAGATACACATTGCAAATGGCTTAGATTAGACAACAAATTCTGGTAGTTCAAAAACGACAGAGGGAAAAAAGACAACACTGACTTCATATTGAAATTTAAATTGAATTTTACATGCCAACTAATTACAATTTTGAGTAAACTATAGAAATATAGTTGCCAGGTAAAATATAACATGCCTAGTTAAATTTGAATTTCAGATGAATTATATATTTTTTAGAATAAGTATGTCCCATATTCAGTATGAGATATATTGCATGGGATGTACTTACATAAAAATTATTTATTATTTGAAATTCAATTTAACTAGGAAATCTTGTACTTTCATTTGTTAAATGTGGTAATTCCATATAGGAAACTATTTATACATGTCCTAGGTAACCATTTAAAAATAAAAGTGGTAACATCTATTGCAGTTAATACCCATTCAATAATAATAATAATAATAAAATTCCTTTATTGCCAGGGACCTTGCTTTAGAGACTCTGCAGAACATTGTGTTTGTTACATAGTGTTACATAGATCACTGGACTGTGTTGGTTGCTTGTTCATCAGAGTGGACCTCTCTGGACTCAGGAAATGTAGAACTCAGTGGCCAAAATGAGTGTCACAAAGGACCATTTTAAGATTCTTTGATGCAGTAAACACACTGCCTCTTCCCGAACAGAATGACTCATGGAGGGGCTCTTTCCAGTTGTGACTTCTACTGACATGATTCCCAACATAAAAGACTATCCATATGTTTACAGCAGCTCTGAAAAAAAAAAAGGCCCTCATAGTGTACGTTTGTGTGATAATTATTATTTATTTTTTTGCAGGGCAGCAAGATGTGGAACTTTCTTAAAATCACCCCAATTTGAATAAGGAATTTAAATAAAATGAAGAGTAATTCTAACCTATCATTGTACTATAAATTTCAAACAATGCCAAGGTAACTTTTTGAGATTTCCAGGAATTTCCCCAAATAGAATTAAATCTTTAAGCCTGCTCCTACATCTCAGTAGATCTATAGTCCAGTTCAGATATACGGAACTCCTATTGCAGAGGGTGAAATAATTTCTCCTGGAGCTGAAATGCCTTCTGAAACACAGGATTCTGATTTTGAAGATTTTCATTACAATTTCATGGGTTTTACAGCAGATTTTAGTTACTAAAAATGACAGAGAGGCTGGGGAACACTTTCTATTTCTCTCTCTCTCTCTCT